AGGAAGCATGCAGACATAGTGAATGACATGGAAATGCTATTAGGAACTCATCTTCACGTAATACACAAAAAACAAACATAAAAACATTAATGTTATACAGTCATAAAAGGTCTCTAGTTAACTTTTTAGACTGGGTTGTTTCAGGTTCGATAATCCTACACTATGCTTCAAATTCAAGCCTCAAGTTTCCCGAAAACTCTGGAAATACCAGGGTTGGGTATTAGCGCCAGCCACCAGCCAAATGCTGGTAAAATATGCTGGTGGCTGTTAAATTTACCTCACTCATCAGCCAAAAAAACCCAATGGTAATCTACTGATTGGATGGTAGGTTTTGGAATCCACCAGCCACAGTGCAAGTGAGCAAAAAAGTTCATTTCCAACCCTGGAATTACCCAGTAAAATAAAGGAGTTTTGACCTCTTTTGACCCTTTCCCCCTCTCAATGCCAGAAATCTCTACTCAACTTAAGTGCAAGAACTCATCAGCTTTTCTTACCGCTGTTTTTGAACACAACATGTGCTGGTCGGTCCTTCATTGTAAGGTCAAGGACAGAAAGACCTTCCTTGTCCTGAGTGGAGAGAAGTCCTCCATGCTACAACAAAGTCAAGACAAAAAAATATATTCAAAGCGAAGCAAAAATCTTTACAATTAGCAAGTAGCAATCCTTATTTTTCCTTTGATGGCACCACAGATTACTTTCCATATTGTTGCATTATTTGACTAATCTGGTAAATGGGAACACCTTGAACAACTCAACAAATCTGGACAGCACATTTTTTGGGATGTGCTTTAAATACATACCTTGATCAACGATATGAGACAGTGGATATGTCCGTAAAAAGCGCTGCGATGCAGAGCGGTCCAGCAGGACTCCTTATCCTTCACCATCAGGTCAGCACCCTTATGCTCCAACAGCCACTCCATGATGGCCTTCTTTCCCAATGAGGATGCCATGTGCAGGGCAGTGCGACCATAGGCATCCCGCAAGGTGGTCGCATTGTGACAGTGTGAGGTCAAGAACGCCCGCAGCTGCCCCTCAGAGCCGCTTGTTAGTGCGGCCATCACCTCGTCTGCATGCTGCTCTGAGCGGCATTTGGGGCCGCAGTCAGGCAGTGCCAGACTCATCCTGACCTCAGCCAAATCTTCACAGTGAACCCACCTCCCTTGTGTATAACAAAGTCTGTGACAGCCCACCACCCACAAAAGAAAAAACTCAAAAACAATACAATGTAAGGTGACGAATCAAAAACACTGTCGCGAAAACTGTGCACTGTAACAGAGCTACTCTCCAAGAAGAAAAAAGTAAAGTACTACCAAAAAAAAACAAAGAAAAAAAAATGTGTCAACAAAAGGTCGAGATGGTTTGGAGTGCTAGAATTGTGCTTGTGTTGAGGTTCCACTGCACCCTAGCAACCCCAGAGCCTTCCTGCGACTCGATTCAGTCCACCATTTCAACCAAGAATTGAACACAAACTAAGGTGCTTGCAGCATGACACTGGTATCAAGAATTCAATAAATAGAAAACCTCTTGTGCATTTTATACAAAATTGTACATTTCAATGTTTGCAAAAATAGTTTCTCCTTTATATATTCTTTTAATCATTTACAAAAGGCAAAAAAAAAATTTCAACCACCCTCTGACCTTCTCGTCCAGCAGTCCAACCATCAAACTTGAGGGGAAAGGCCCCCTTTCCCCCCAAAATTCCCACTTTCCTTTTCAAAACTCCATAATTGTAGAGTGCACCTGAGGGAGAAAATGTAAGAGTTCTCAGTGGAAAAACAATGGCCTACAGTCACACTTGAGTACTTGCAAACTGCAAAATGCAACTACAGCTTTGTGTGCAGAACGCAGAACTGACATGAGTTCCAAAACTGCAAGTGCAAAGGTCAGGGCAAGTCTGACCTAATTATAGACTCACAAAGCACAGACCAGCTGAGTTGGCAGGTTTGCAAGACAGCTATTTGACAGCGTTGTGCAAATAAGATTGAGGCAAATTTAAACTTTACATACAGTTTGCATTATGGGGAATGTTTTAGTGAAGATAGTGCTCTAGCCTTGGTAAGAGAGGTTCTTAATATTGACTACACTGCAGAATTATGTAACAGGCTAAGTTAACCATTAGATTGTTAATTTTCCATTTTGCTTGCAGAATTCAACCCCCCCATTTTGGTCTGCGTAATAGAACCAGTTTGTTGAAGCTATTGAAACCTACGTCTTTGGTAGAATAAAATAACTCGCTCCCAATGCCTACAGAGATGACTAACTTGCTAGCAAGCTTTACATAGGCACTGACGGCTAACTAACCCCTACTTCACCCAAATATTAGCTCATAGTGCCCAAACTGGATATCGTTATGTCAAGTCACATCGTAATTTCGTATATATTTTCAATTCTGACAGTTAACTAGACGCGTATCCTGGAAAAAAACACCTATAAACGTATACGTTTGTCAAATATTGTTAGCTGGCGTTAGCTAATGCTACATTAGCAGCTAACTTAGCTTGACTGACACATCACCGAAAGCTAACTTTGCGTTAGCCAGCTGTTTTGCGAAGGGAAATTAACGTCGCAGCATCTCTTACCTTCCGCTAGTGAAAGAAAAAAGATGACATGGAGAAAGTAGCATTAACGACGTACATCCACTGTGTCATTACTACAAACAGAAAACGCTAGCGGTATTTTTCTGGTGCAAATTTTGACAGGACTGAACGCTTGTAAGCCTGCAGGGTAGGGAAAAAAACTCGGTAATGTCGAGACTTCTGATTGGTCAGAGCTTGTACATCCCGATAATTAATTGGTTTATTTTTGGGGGGTGTTAGCTGTGCTCTGAGTGTGCTGTTGCTGCATCTATGATGTCATAGGAAATTTTACTTTACTGTTTTTATTTTATGGTTTACGTTGAAAATATAATTATTGAAATAAAACATATATGAAAACAGGGTGATAAAATAACTTACTAAAAAACTATACTTCAAAAAATAGTGTATACCTTATGAATTAATCTTAAATGATACAACACTTTTTGTATTATTTAGAGCTAATTTACAAAGCGTTGATGCCATTTACTTTAATGAACAGACATTGAAATTCTCACTAAATAGGCCTATATTTCCCCCTAGATGCAATAAGAAGCAAGAGAAGCAGGGGAAATGTTTCAGAGTTGTTTTAAAGTAATTTCTGCACAAGTATCACAAGATAATGGATTGTGCCTTTAATAGTTTGTTCGATCTTCCACCCAAACATTATCTGTTGAGCACACCACACCTTCAGTAGGCTAGTGTGGGCATGAAAGAATGAAAAAGGCTTGTTGATATTTCACAAGAGCATCATTTTTGTTCCAATAGTTTCATATTCAACAGATAGACTTCGGGCGGCGTATCACTTACAGCCTTGATCCAGGTGTCATTGAAGTACTCAGATGATTGTCACACTGACGTAGGCAAAGAATAGGAAGGGGTCAAAGGAGGGTAAAGCTAGGGTTACACAAGGATCTACACAGGGGCTTCCAAATATGACATATTGATGAGCTCGCCCTCCCTCACCTTTCATGCATAAACATATCCACTGTTGTGCACAATCCAGCAGACAAGGTCACCACTTAAGTAATTTCTCAGAGGGAGCTTTGAAAATACAGAGCATGAAAATAGATAAAGGAATTTGACCATTCTATTGTTTTCTACAATAATATCATGTTTGTGTACCGTTGATGCAGTCGCTCATTTTGGTAAGATCCAAGAGTTCCTAAACATTTCTTTGCACCAGTAACACTTGTAAAATATAAATCATTAATCTTTGCTCCATCCATGGACCAAAAGCTGAGACAATTTTCTTTAAGTGCAGAGATGACAGTGTGGAGAGAATGTTTTTTCAAGGTCACATGTAGTATTTTCATACATTCACGATTTTTCCCCCTAAAATGGGAAACTTTATTTTACCAAAATGTGGTGTTTCAAATGACTGTTTGTATTAAAGGATGATGACCTTTTGTCTTTTTGGGAAATTTGTATAAAACTTTACCTCAACACTTAAAAAATCTAAGCTTGACACTTTCATTCGAATCTTTACAAGCCATCTTTGCTCTTATTTTGAGTTTGTTATCTATGTGGTTCTCTATTGTGTCAACATACAAGTAAACATGCAATAAATCTTGACAATATTTTTTTCCCTGGCTTCATCGGGTATGGTAGGCTACAGAGACCTAATCCTCACAGATCCTAAAACGGTTTGGCTTTTCAAAATAGCAGCAAAGTGACATTATCAGTGGATCACATGATTAATGTGTTTCCTTTACCAGTTTTCTTTTTGCTTCTCGATACCTTTAAGCTGCTTTCCACTGAGATTATAACGTACTAAATGTTTTTTTTGTTGAACTGGATAAGATAGCAGATATTATGATACGCCTAATAGATCAAACTGGCTTTACCTCGGGAAACACAACATTTCCTATTCCCCTACATGTGAAGTCATTTGCTTATATGCAGCAGCATTATGTAAAAATATTTTATTCCAAGAAATGCCATCTGAAGAGATGTTTGTGGTTGGTTCTGATTTAATATGGGATTGCAAAAATCATCACTTTTGTATAAAAGTCTGAACAGAAGATAATATATTTCTCTACACTGTACTGTATAGACTGCAGCCTTCTCCAAGAGTGAAGCAGTGAGGCTAAATTGTTCTTCACATTGTTTGGGACGTCACTGGAGCTCCCTGAGGTACCCCTAGAGGTCCCTGGACCCCAAGACACCGGGCTCAATTTCAGTAGCAGCACTAGTATGCTATAGGTCGTTTTAAGAAAACTAGCTGTGGTTTTTATAGCTACATGTTTGACTGTCAAATAAAAATCAATTTAAAAACATGTGTGGCATCGTCATAAGTGGAAAATTTGAATAAAAATATGAACGAAACTTGTAAGAGTTTTCTGTTCACCCTCCTTTTGTTGGGAAATGGTACGCTCCCTCCTTCCGCTTGTCTGCACTGTGCTGCTGTGTTTGGTCCTTCCCTCCAGACTCCCAGCGTTTAGGAAAGCGGCAGGCTGGAAGTACGCATGTAGTAATTCATGCCACCTTTGGGAGACAGTGAGCATTGTCTGTCTCGGGACCAGCAGTTCGAGTAAGTTTTTTGGAAAGTTGATATTTTACAGTGGACTGTATTGTTTTACAAGGACTGGAAAAACGTAACGTAAACGCCTGAGGTTTGGGAGACAAACGAAGAGTTTGCGAGCTTCGCCCACATCACGTTTATCCTCATGGAAACGTAGACTTCCCCTCCACAAGGATGATTTGGGGGTAGTTTTATGGAGTCTGAGTTGGAACTGGGTGAGATTTTGGAAAGGATTAAGGCGGGAGACACAGTCGAAAAACTTTCCCCTGGTGAGTCACGGCGGCGAGTGGGTTGGATTGTTGTAAAGTAATTACGCACGGTCTGCGCAGACAGATTTGTACAGTCCAAGATGCGCCTGTTGAGCACGTCGTGCGGATGTGACCGCGGTGAAATCCAAGGGAGAATACACATGACCGGAATGATTCAGTTTCTCTTCCTCCTCGCGGCCGTGCTGTCCTGTCAAGGCTGTCCGGACAAATGCTTGTGCTTCTCACAAACTGTGAAATGCCAAAACCAGGACTTGGACGCGATACCGCATTCTTTGCCGACCAATACCAAATTCCTGTTCGTCACTGGAAACAACATTTCCCGGATCAGTGTGGACTCTTTCCCAACCCGCTTGGAACAATTAACAGATCTCTATCTCAGTGGGAATGAGATGGAGTCTGTGGATGCAATGGTATTTGATAACTTGCCAAACCTTGTGCGGCTGGACCTGAGCAACAACAACATCCAGAATTTCAGTGAAAGAGCTTTCCCTGATGATAATAAAGTGCAGTTCTTGAACCTCAGTAGGTGTTTCCACAATTACTCCACTGTGGATATGGTCTTAAGCGTTCTACAGAGTGGAAACCTCCTCCAGCTGACGGCCTTGGACTTGTCCAACAATGACCTTGTGATTCTCCCAGACGGCATCTTCGGCAGCCTCTCCAACCTGGTCAACCTCAGCCTGCAGAACAGCTCCATCGTCTCCATTCCTAACGGGACGCTGAAGGTGCCACCGCTGCGTGACCTTGACCTGAGGGACAACAGCCTGAGGGGCCTGCCCACCACCACGCTGGCAGAGTTCAGCCTCAAGCCTGCTCTTCACATCCGGCTGGCGGGGAACCCCTGGCGCTGCGACTGCTTCATCGACGACATGCTGCTGTGGCTGAAAAACTCCACTCAGATCATTGACATGCAGAACCTGACCTGCACAGACCCCAAGGCCCTGAGACGCCAGCCGCTCCTGCAGTTAGAGCTGTCACAGCTGAAGTGTTCAAGCGACATGGAGGGTGTGCTGGAGACCTCTTATGTTTTCCTGGGCCTGGTGCTGGCCCTCATTGGCGTCATATTCCTGCTGGTGCTCTACCTGAACAGAAAAGGCATCAAGCGGTGGATGTACAACATCCGGGATGCTTGTAGGGACCACATGGAGGGGTACCATTACAGGTACGAGATAAACTCTGACCCACGTTTGGCCAACCTGAGCATCAATTCAGATGTGTGAGCCAAGAGGGACACTGTCTGGGATCCCGCAGTGAGATATTAAATGACTTCTACTGTTAAAATTTGCATGAAAGTCTTCCTCCCCTTCCCTCCTTCTCCCCCATGATGCTATTCAGATTTTACATCTGTCATGGCTCCTAATTACCCTCCCTCACAACCTTCATTCAACCACTGCCGCATGTCCTACACAAGTACCTGGCAGCTGTGATGTCAACTGCGTTTCTTCCGTGTAACATTGCATGGACAATGAAATGGCGAAGGTTTTTTTCCTGGAGAGTTGCAAAGAGTGCTATGTTCTATTTTTATTTTTCCTAAAGGATAAACGTACGGCGTGACTTTTAAGCGAAAGAAAACATACTGCTGGTCATTGCATCCTTCTCATTATGCCTCTGCTGCTTGTTTATGAGTTTGTTCTTTATAATATGTGTTTTGTGATATACAGTATGCCTCTTGAATGATTATAGTGCACATTGCATAGTTTTTTTGGATTTTAGTAGGTGGATGTAATTGCTCTTTTTTCTGTGAAGATATTCGGCTAAATAAAACGCCTCTGGATTGCTGGTATCTGTCTCCATTGAGGACCTTTTAATCTTAGGACTGAGGAATGTGATTCAAAGGCTTTGATACAGGAGAGACACATTCCTGAGGCAGTGCCACACCTAGCATGAACCATGTGACAAACACTAAATCTTGAAACAGTTGTCAGCTAGTTCAACAATGTGTAAATTTATACTACAGTATCACTGCTACATCAGTTTAAAGGGACAGTTCATCCCAAAAATCAAAAACAAATATTTTTCTTCTTACCTGTAGTGCTGTTTGTCAGTCTAGATTGTTTTGGTGTGAGTTGCCGAGGGTTGGAGATATGGGCTGTAGAGATGTGTCCTACTCTCAAATATAATGGAACTAGATGGCACTTGGTTTGTGGTACTTAAAGCACACAAAAAATACATTTGAAAAACTCAACAGCAATGTCTCTTTCCAGAAATCCTGACTCTGTGACTCACGATGATCCACAGACCTTGTTGTGAGCAGTTTCATGTAGGAGCTATTTTCTTTCTACTGCACTACACCCATCAACCATATCACTGTGCAGAAGGATGTGTGCATCAACTGCTAGCTCTTCTAGCACCACTGTGCTAAGCTTAGCTAATGTTACAGCTCAGCAGAGAAGGACGCCGTCATGTTTACAGTATATCTCGCGCTGTAACAAGCATGAGCCTCTTGATGATATGGTTGGCAGTTGTAGTTAGAGAGAAAGTAGTTCCCACATGAAACTGCTCACAACAAGGTCTGTGGATTAACTTAAGCATCCGGGTCATTATTCTGGAAAGAGACACTGTTGTTTTTAGATATATTTTTTTGAGACTATGAGCACCACGAGCCGAATGCCATCTAGTTCCATTATATTAGAGAGAAGGCAGACATCTCTGTGGCCGATATCTCCAACACTCTGCAACTTACACTGAAACAATCTAGACTGATAAATAGTATTAAAGGTAAGACGAAAAATATTTGCTTTTGATTTTTGGGGTGAACTGTCCCTTTAAGGGCGTATTGTGTTAAGTGAGTTGCTGCAGCAGGAAATAAAGTCAAATTAAGAAGTTAAGTAGAGGACACATGCTGTCTGAATTTAAATGGGCTTCTATCTGTAGGTCTATAGGTGATGAGAGGAGCAAACTTTTTATCTCCCATCCAATTTGCTTCCTGCTGTGAATCTGATAAAGATCCCTGGCTCCGCTGCAAACTCCCCAAAAATAACGTGTGTGAGCTGCAGCCAGTGGGCAGGTTTCACATCCGATAGCCCCTGCCAGTAAACTGAAAGCGTTTCAGTGTTCCCCAGCTGCAAAAACTGGGAAGAAATGCTATATGCTGTTTCGTGGCACATGCAAATGAAGGCAAACTGAACCCGCTATTCTCATGGGGCACACAGAGGTATTATGGAAATGAGCTCAAGCGGCTTTTCATGTAACCCTGTTTTAAGGAAACTAGCATCCTCGGAAAAAGCGTTCTCCATTAGCGTTTTATATTCGACTGTCAATCGCTATTTTATATGCCGTCCAGTATAGTATGGATGAATAATTAATCTGGGGTCTTCTGTAGGGTATACCATGCATGTTGGTGTCTAGCAGTCTAAATTAATGAAGATGTTTGTTGTGTCTGCACACAGGAATGACCTTCCTTGGCCCTTTTTGAAGAGCACCTGGATAGATAATAACTTCCCTCTCCCTCCATCTCTCCTTCATTTGCGCACAAACACACAACAACTCTAACAACTGGGCCTTACATAGCCTGCAGCTATATGTCATTATTTGCAGTATAACAGCATGGCTCTTGCACAGATTCCCCAGCCTGCATCTCTCAGCAACACAGCGTGTCGTCATATCTTTGTGTTTCACTATGAAAAACATTTTTGTGATCAGCAGATGCAATAATTGTGATTGTCTCCGGATGTGTCTGATTACACCCTTTCGACACAAGGAAGGGAAGCGCCTGTGTAACACTATCTGTCTGGTCTGGTGCTCTGGCTGGTGTTACCGCTCTATATGTCTCCTGACAAACACAGCAGCTGCTCCAACTGTCTCTGTGGGCTGGAGACGTGTCGTCACACCTTCGGCTTCACACTTCCCGCCTGGAAATCTTTATGTCTGGGAGACTTTTGTTCAGGAACAGCATGGCCAATCTTGTAGATAACAGGGAGTGTGTAGCTGCAAGTTTTCTTTTAATAGGATTATTACTCTCATTGGCTTCAAGGTGCGTTTCTCAGATTTCTGTTCTGATGATCACACCTTCATTTCTGCTTCTCTTATGTCTATAATCATGATTTTGCAGATTGATTTAGGCCACTTAAACAATCCTAACAGAAATAAAGACATTTCCACCATAAATTGATGCAGAAAAAGCTCCCGAATGCAGGAAATTAAGTGTTTGGGGTTAAAAATTTCCTGGGGGAGGACCCCAAACCCCGAGATTCATGTGCCTCCCCAAATGTAAAAAATGAAACCTATGGCCTTGAATCCCAAGCTCAAAAGCCGTTACTTACAGGCTTGCCTCCTCACTATAGATTTGTAATTGTTGCAGGTTCATTTTGGAAATGGATGGTCTCACTACACACACACACAATTCCCCGAAGTGAGGCTTCCTTACCTCTTTGTCCCAGGAGGGACATACAGGTGCAGGCTGCTTACAACCTAATGTTTCCACAGAGACTGTCGGCGAGCAGTCCTCCTCCTCACACACTCTGCAGATTCATATTAACGAGTGATTTTGCCCAGCCACGCCTCGAGCTACGCTTGGCAGAGCAGGTGTAATTACAGCGAGAAAAAAGCAAGCAAGCGAGACAGTGAATGGTTGAAGGGGAAGAAGAGTGAAACAGATGAGTGTTGAGAGTGCTCTTTGTTCTAAAAGCGCGGCGACACCTCTCCTGGCTCGCTCAGTGGCCCCTTTGTGCTTGTTAACACTGGTCTCCAAACAGCTTTGGCGTCTAAATAGCCAGTCATTGACTTATGGTGTCAACTGAGATCCAGAGAGGCAGCAGTGTGTCTCGGGCAGCTCCCTGGACTCTCTCAGCTGTCTGTTAGGGCAGGAACAGGACTGCTGTTTGTTCTTGTCACTAAACACAGGCCATGTTGCAGACACTGCAGTCAACCATGTTTGGTCTCCTCTCCTTTGTTGTTTATCTGACCTACTGAGGCCCCGGCGATGACATGATTGCAGACAGAAACACTGTTTTTATCCCAAGGCTACTTTTTTGCCTCAACAGTCCGTCATCTTGGTGTGTGGTGTTACCTCTGTGAACAGATTTCTTGATCTTTTACTGAAGCAGATGTTGAATGAGTGTCATGTACCTCTAGGTCTTTTATTGTAGAACTAATTAACATTACACTGATGGTCAGTTGGAGGCCCTAATATTCAAATATGCATGAATGTACTTTTTTATTTTTACTCTAGGTTTAAAGGATAAGTTCAGAGTTTTGCCCACATTTACAATGAATGGCTGTGAAGTGCAACTTCAATGTAAGAGACAAAATCCACAGTCTTCGTTCAGCACAAATTGCTAATTTAAGCAGTCTGAGTCAGACAGGCCAGGTGTGTATCTTGCAAAGTTACAGACTTTTTTTTAAAAAAATCACACTTGTCTTATCCCTCCCTGCAGCTCAGGAGCCAGATACTGTCTATGGAAACACTTAAAGTAAATTTGGTACAAAAAAATCCCTTTAAACTTAGATTCAGTAACTCACATTTCTGGAGCCTCATTTTCGTTCCAGCCAGATATGAATCTCTTGCAAGGCAAGGCTGCAGCCAGTTATGTTCCAATCTCTCATGTAATCTGTGGCTTTAACTCATGCTGTAACTGCACTTTGGAGACTTTTGTTCCTGGCCTTTAGAATTAAAGGCAGTGACAATGGGTGTACATCCTGGGGGGAAGTGCCATCTTTAGGATAACTCAAGAAGCAAAAGTCTCATCCCTCGCTGCTGTTTCATGTCTCACAAGCCTTGTGTGGGGATGAAATAGATGAGTGCAGTTAAAACAGTACCACAACTACATATATGAAGCACACACATGAAAGCATGTTATTTAACTCAGTCAAATAGCAAAAAAAACTGCAATATGACACCAATAACAGTCATAGAACAAAGAGCTGCAAAAGAGATCACTTAACAGCCAGTATGAAAAGGAAAAATGATCACAGCTGACAATTTTGCCGATATGTCCAAAATCTTGTATCACAGTATATGTAATTTTATGCCATGATAACGGTATATATAATATGATACAGAGGTTGTTCTGAAAATTCATTGAAGAAATTGTTAAAAAATAACCATATTGAACTTCATCACATTTGATTCTTTACTTCTTTTATTTGGAACTTCCATACACACAAAAAAACAACTGCTCATGGGTCAACACTTGAGTTAAAAGCAAAAGATTTAAAACAGTAAAACTGAAATTCTTTCTACAATAAATCGTTAAGGTTCTTGAGAACAATAATTTCAATCAGTCAGTCTCAATCTGTCCAAATCAGGCTACGTTGCAGGGCCACTGGATTTGCGAGATCACGCGCCCATGTGAGAATCCAGCCCTGATACGTTACATAGTTCCCGCAGTATCAATAGTTTTGCCAAATCTCTATTGTCGCACAGTATATACAGTCATAACCCAGCTCTAATCACTGTGAATTTTTTTTTATGTCGAAATTGGCCAATGAGAGTTATAATTAGACTTAAAAAAACTGAGAAATTTAGTGGTCTGACCCTTTTAAGTAAAACACCTGCAGTTGACAAACATACTGTCCTTCAAAACTTGATTATCAGTCAAACTCTGTCCACCCCCACCACCCCTACCCCATGATACTGCACGCACAGACACTGCTCCCGCTGCTCACAACCATGTTTGTTGAGCCGCATTTAATATGCCAGTGCACTTTCCCAGTGTTGAGAGACAGACTGGCAGGTTATCAGATTGCCAGAGTGCCGTAATTACATTCACATCACCGCACTGGTCTGCTGCTCCACAAACACCTGGCAAGTTGCCCCAGCCGCTGACCTTTCCCTCAGAAAAA